ATAAAAATTAATTATTTTATTAGTTATCAATTATTTTTAACAATCAAATTAAAATAAAAATGTACCAATTTTTGTAGTTCTAATAAATTTAAAAGTGACTATAACCATAACCCATGTATCCTATCATTTTTTTTTTTCTTTTTTCTCATCTAATCTCAAATCCATTCCCACCTGTTTTTCAAGAGTTTCCAACTCTTATAAGCAGAAACACCCTTTGGGGTATCTATGTCCTGTAAATAGTTAATACCATTTCTCACTGAGGGTATGCCTCTGAAATGGAGTTCATGTGTTGCTGTTACAATACCCATGTGCTTTAGGCAAAGAGGGGTTCGAATTAAAGCACTCTACAGATATAGAGTAATTAAGTATCCACTTATGTATAATCTTATATATTACACTTATATAAAATTTTAACAATTTATTTTTTTATTTTCAACAATTGAATTTATCACAATTTTTATATAAAAAATAATTATTTTTAATAAACATAAATAAATATCAATTATTAAAAGTAAAAAAATAAATAATCAAAATTTTATATAAATATAATGTGTAAAATTTATGTGTAAATGAATAATATATATTTTATATATATGCAAATAAAAATTGAGTACCGTGTTCCATCCTTTGTTTTATTGTATATATTTCGTTGAATAAAGTATTAATTTATCTAACAAGTTGATCTTTGGTTGAGTTTATATACCTCTTCATAGTTATATTAAGGATAGTGGATTACCCCTGCAGCCTTTGGTCCAAAGGGAAGGTTTAGGCACTCTTTTTTATTTTTTTGTGCCCCAACCATCAAGAAAATAATAAAAATTCTCCAGCTTTGCCCCATTTATCAGTTATGCATGATGTGAAAAAGACATAAGAGTTGGTGTTTTACAGTCCAAACACCATATTGCACTTCAATTACACCACTCTCAAAACAATATCCAGTACAAACTTGTTATGCCTCAGATTTTCAAATATGTAGTTTCACTGGTCTGGAGGGGAGACCGGATTGCAATCTTCCCCTCCATTGGGATTAAATGTTCATGATGCATATGTTGATTTACAGGAGCTTCTGTATCCTTGTTTTTCATTCTTGCATATTTCAAACTGTAGATTGAAACTTTCCACATGACCCGTTAATGTTTCGCTTTCATTATTCTTCAAGTTTTATTCTCTCTTCATTGTCAACAATATCACCCAGTAGACCTAATCTTGGTAGCTGAACTGCAGTATATTGTATATAGTTAATAAAGCCAACCTAAGAAACAACTTGTAGGCCACAAAAGAAAAGCAGAACTACAGTAAAAATCCAAAATAGAAAAGCTTGAGTCTTTGGCAAAATTGATCAAGAAGGTGCAAAATGTCAAAAGTTATGCAATTGCCTAGAGTAACAATCTTCACAAAGTAGAAAAAGAACAAATTCAAAACACTTCCAATACAAGGGCAAGCAGGTGGAGGAACTTTTCCATAATCCATACAAAAAACATAAACCTAGGCTACCAACCATAAAGCAATCCAATCAATAGACGGTAATAGGATGATTTAATAGGAAAATCTCCTATACAATTTAGACCTCAAAATAAAGCATGAAAATTAGAATTGATTGTTAATGAAAGAATAGAAATTATAGCAGAAACAAAACAAGGGAATCGCTGCAGATATATCTAAAGCTTCTAAGCTCCCAACCCATGATACGAGTTTCAGTGATGTATTCTTTTTTGAGGGCTATACTATCTTTGGCAAAACATTTATTGTAACCCCCCAGACTTACCAAGAACGACTTGGGATTGCAGAACAGTGAAAACCCAAATCACAGATATAAAGTTCAGTATAATGCAATTAGGCAGTCACTTATTATAGTTCTACATCTTTCTACCCAATGTCATTCTAATTAAGCAAAAGCAGTATTTCAGGAGTTCACATTTGAACTTCTAAACATACAAAGTGCTAGGCAGCAGGGCCAATCAAGGACTCATTGAAGTATGTGAAAGTTGATCTCTTTGTCAAAATGACCCAATTATAAATAAAGAGACGTTGGATGACAGAATCCTTTGCTCAGTCGGTGACTCAAAGGAGTGTCATCTTTGAAAAAAGTTTGCTCGTTACATGTTAATGGAAGGGTCGGCCAAAAGAAAAAGATAAAAGGAAGAAGATGATGAAAGAATCTTCTGTGTCAAAAGCAAATCGCAAAGAAAACTATGGTCTAAAGGTGCTTGCACATGAAGTTAAGCACCTTTAATACCAAATCTTCTCATCTTCCACAGTCTCTCCCTCTCCTTTCCCTTCTTTTCCATTGCATTATCATATAGTAAATTGGATTCTAAAGGAACAATTATAGTCTTTGTAGAACATACTTACTTAGCAAGCACAGAACAACCTCTTTTGTTTGCTCTACAAGCATTATGAACTGATCCCACTATGGCAACAACTCGAAAACTAATCGTGGAAGTCGTTGATGCTAGGAATCTGGTGCCAAAAGACGGGCACGGGACATCGAGTCCTTACGTTGTGATTGACTACTACGGGCAGAGGAAGAAGACGCACACTGCAATTCGGGACTTGAACCCAACATGGAATGAGGTTCTTGAGTTTAATTGGGGAAAACCATCCGAAGTGTTTGATGATGTTCTTGAGCTTGATGTTTATCATGATAAGAATTATGGGCCGACGAGGAGGAATAATTCTCTGGGAAGGATCAAATTGAGCTCAGATCAGTTTGTTCGGAAGGGGGAAGAAGCGTTGATTTATTATCCTCTGGGAAGGAAGTACTTGTTCAGTTGGATTCAGGGAGAAATTGGGTTGAAAGTGTATTATGTAGATGAAGTGATTCCGCCACCGGCCCGGCCTGTGGAGGAAGGGAAACCAGAAGAGGCGAAAGCAGACCCAGCAACTCCAGCAGCAGAGGAAGGTGGTGCGAAATCAGAATCTGATCAACAGCCCCCCATGGAGGCAGCGACTAATTTTGGCAAGTCTGAGACGGCAGGAGGGGCCCCACTAGGGAGTGATCAAGCTCCGCCGCCTGAACCTCAGGCAGAGACTGGGAAGCCGGATGAAGGACAGCCTGCTGAAGGTGCGCCACCACCAAATGGTCCTCCCGAGGCTGAGAAACCACCAGAGGAACCAAACCCAGTACCATCGCGGCAAGAGGCAGGTAGAGATCAAGCGGATGCACAAGCAGCCACGCCAACAGCGCAAGATTCGCAGCCCACGCCGTCTCCTGACGATGACATCGTGATCGAGCCTGCTTCCGGAAATTGGGCTCCTCAACCGGAGATCATGGCAACAGCAGCCTCTGGATCGATTCCAGAAATCAGAGTCCGCCGAACCATCCCTCCTCCACAACCAATGCCTCGGCCAGCGGCTCCCACAACTTACACCTCCTCGGACCCACCCGAACAAGCCCAGATTGAACGGTCATCGTTTGATCTCGTCGAGAAGATGCACTACGTCTTCGTACGAGTCGTGAAAGCAAGGTTTCTACCCACAAACGGCAAGCCCGTCGCTGAGATTGCCATCGGAAGTAACCGTACCATTTCCCAACCCGCACGGAAAACCAATTTCTTCGAGTGGGATCAGACGTTCGCATTCCGCCGTGACTCACCTGAATCCTCCTCCAACCTTGAGGTCTCTCTGTGGGACCCATGCGGCACGATGGATCCCTTATCGGACACGGCGACAGCGAATTTCTTCGGCGGGATTTGTTTCGACGTGGCGGACATTCCACTCCGAGACCCACCCGAGAGCCCTTTGGCTCCACAGTGGTTCAGGCTGGAAGGAGGTGGGGCCCATAGCGGCGACCTGATGCTGGCCACGTGGATCGGAACCCAAGCTGACGAGGCATTTCCCGATGCATGGAAAACCGACACTGCCGGCGACAATATCAATTCTCGGGCCAAAGTCTACCTCTCCCCAAAGCTCTGGTATCTCAGAGCCACCATCATCGAAGCCCAAGACATTCTGCCGTTGACGGCGATGAAAGAATCGTCGTTTCAAATCAGAGCTAAGTTAGGTTTCCAAGTGCAGAAAACCAAAGTCTCGGTCAACGCCAACGGCCATCCGCGCTGGAACGAGGACCTCCTGTTCGTAGCGGCGGAGCCGTTCAGCGACCATTTAGAATTCTCCCTCGAACTCCGGCAACCCAAAGGACCGGTTGTTTTAGGAGCCGCCAGAATACCGTTCACCACCATTGAAAGACGAGTGGATGACCGGAAAGTGGTATCCCGATGGTTCACATTGGACGACCAAAATGACAAGAAGAAAATGTATAAAGGTAGGATCCAAATGGGTCTCTGTTTTGATGGTGGGTATCACGTGATGGACGAGGCGGCGCACGTGTGCAGCGATTATCGGCCGACGGCGAGGCAGCTCTGGAAACCACCAGTGGGAACGGTGGAGCTTGGAATCATTGGGTGCAAGAACTTGTTACCGATGAAAACGGTAAACGGCAAAGGAACCACCAATGCATACACCGTTGCCAAATACGGGTCCAAGTGGGTCCGTACCCGGACAGTGTCGGATTGTTTGGATCCGAAATGGAATGAGCAGTACACGTGGAAGGTTTATGATCCATGTACAGTGTTGACTATTGCTGTATTTGATAGCTGGGGAGTATTTGAGATCAGCGATGGAAAAGAAGCCACGCGTCCTGATTTCCGTATCGGGAAGATTCGGATACGGATATCCACATTGGCGACGGGTCGGGTATACAGGAATTCATACCCGCTGCTCTTGTTGGGTCATAGTGGAGTGAGGAAAATGGGAGAGATAGAAGTGGCTGTAAGATTTGTCCGTGCAGCTCCTACATTGGATTTCCTACACGTGTACACTCAGCCCTTGTTACCGTTGATGCACCACATCAAGCCTCTAGGAGTTGCCCAACAAGAAATACTGAGGAACACTGCTGTAAGGATCATAGCTGTTCACTTGTCACGATCCGAGCCACCTCTTAAATCTGAGGTGGTACGTTACATGCTTGATGCGGATTTGAACACCTTTAGCATGAGAAAGGTCCGTGTAAATTGGTTCAGGATTGTCGTAGTAATTGCAAGCCTGATCGATATAGTACGGTGGATTGATGACACACGTACGTGGAAGAATCCGACGGCCACCACACTTGTGCATGCATTGCTAGTGATGCTTGTGTGGTTCCCTGATTTAATCGTCCCCACATTGGCATTCTATGTGTTTGTGATTGGGGTTTGGAATTATAGGTTTAGGTCGCGTGATCCAATGCCCCACCTTTGCCCCAGGATCTCACAAGCTGATAAAGTTGATTGTGACGAGCTAGATGAAGAATTTGATGCGGTACCTAGCAACAGATCTCCCGATGTCATACGTGCCAGGTACGATGAGTTACGTGCAATTGGTGCACGTGTGCAGACTGTACTCGGGGATTTTGCTACTCAAGGAGAGCGTGTGCAATCGCTAGTGACATGGCGAGACCCCCGTGCGACGGGAATTTTTGTGGGATTGTGTTTCGTGGTGGCATTGATATTGTATTTGGTGCCATCAAAGATGGTGGCAATGGCATTTGGGTTCTATTATTTCCGCCACCCATTGTTCCGAGATCGGATGCCGCCACCGGCCATGAACTTCTTCCGACGACTTCCATCTCTTTCAGACAGGATAATGTAGCCTAATTAGATTCATATGAGACAAGTTTCGTTGGTTTCTTTGATTTCTAGATGTAATTTATAATCTTTTTCTGCTAGCAAAGAGAATCAATAAAGAACCACAGTGCTTTAAAAATGAGAAATAGCTCCTATAATGTATTAAAAAAAATCCTAAATCAAACAAAATTTTGAATTGGTAACTTATACTAAAATCGACAGTATTAAGTTTATTAAGACTAATCTTGACTAGCTGCACATCTCTCGCCACTTTTTTTGTTCTTTCTTTGTTCCTACCATCGGTTTATTCCCTCAACAGTTAGCAGGGAGTACGAATAGATTCTCTCATTTTGAGTTTTTTTCCTTTTTTTT